GAAAATAAATAAATAAATTTAATTTGACTTGAAATGTGACTTTGGTACCTTGCTGAGTTTTTCAGCTGTTGCAGCGACACTGAGACCCTCCAAGGCCTCCGTTAACTCCCTCTCAAACTCTGTGCCGTCTTCATCTGGAATTAGAAATGTACAATCACTTGGTTCAGGTGTTGCATCAATTCCGGTGTATGAATGATGTTGTATTCCTCTTACGATGCTGGTATTTCTATGACCGTTACGGACATGTTACCTTTCTTCTCGTCCACTTCCTCATCATCAAACTCCACCAGGGAGAAAGAGTCCTTGATGAGATCCAGCTCTTCTCTGAGCTGAACCAGCTCATCTCCTGACAGAGTGGTCAGCACCGACTTCACCTACAGCACACGCACAAAGATTTGAGGCTTTTACCAGATACCACTGAATTATGCAATATAAAATAATGACTCAGTACGTCTATTTGGCCACAGTAGGTGTATTTATATTATATATTTTGGAATGAAACTCCCACCGAACCTTAGACTCGCTATCTCGAGCCAGCATCTCCAGTGCCTCGAGGTGTGACAGACCCTGAAATTCATCAAACAGCATCCCATAGTGGGCGACCACCTTCTTCCCAGATTCTGACCACTCTTTCTCTGCTGTCTGCAGCTCCTCCCGCTCCTTTGCTTCCCTCAACACCTACGAGACAGAAGGGATGAAAAGTTTAAATGAGACAGGGCTTTAGTCTTATCCTTGTCTGTTTTTTAGCTTACTTTTTTACGTTTACCTTGACTTGAGGTTATTTTTAGTATTTCATTAAATTTGATCACATTTTGTTAATGTCATTTTAGTCTCATTTTGGCTACAAACAGCTATGAAGAGGTAAAACAAGATGTATGACATGAGATTCACGTCTTTTAGAGATGCTGAAGGTCAGTTTAGGCAATTAATATTCCAGTCCCTCATCAAAAATAAATTATGTATAACTTTGATATCTGACGATGGTCTGCGTACCTGAGACAGAGTGGAGTTCCTGTTAATCAGTCCTTTGGTCTTCTTAAAGCCGGGATCGCCTTCTGCTATCACGTCCATCGTCTTCTTCCCGATGAACTCCAGAGCATCCAAACCGCCCGTTATCACTGTTTTCCCCTGTGAAGAGAGGAACATATAAACAGTTTAGTTTCAGTTTAACATCCACAACACCTTCTCTTAGTGAGTGACTTACACCAAATATAACATGTGTGAATTAATGAGTTAGCAAGGGGGTAAGACTATGTTATACTAACTTTTAGAGGCTCTGTTATTAGTTTGGTTGCTGCATCAAATTGGAAAAAATAGATCCATCAATAATGAAGTTGAGAAAGAAATGGAACATGGATGATGTTTGTTTCCAGATGGCTGGACCCGGTCAACTTGACGGATTCCAAACAACCTGGCATCGTGTCATAAAACCTAATTTAAAAAAAAAAAGTCAACTTTGGAAATACAGCCCGACTTTGTTGGCATTGTGGGAAAGGTTTCTACCCATAAACAAAATGTCATCCTTATGTTTTTTTCCTGGAACACATAAATCACCAAAACTGAACATTTAATCCCACAGAGTCGTGCTCACATTTGCTCTTTGAATGTTTTTCAAAGGTCAATCAAAAGTGAACTTACTTTAAAAAATATAAAATAGTTGAGAGTAACTGAGAGAAAAACACAGAATTGCAATGCTGCCTTTTCTCAAGAGCTCACGTTTTCAGTCTCAGTGCTCCACACACTACTCTAGATCTACTCTACCATGAAAAACGGATGTTTAAGATGTACTTAAAAAATGTGAACTCGTCTTTCCCCCATCCAAAGAGCAGAAACAAAACACACAATATTTCTGCTTACTGTGCTCTGGACGACGCTGGTGAGTGACGACAGCATTCCCATCGCACTGCCCACCACTGCCGATCCATCAGCTGCTGCTTTGTCCGTCTCACTGCTGGCATCAGCTGCAGGAGTAGAAACAAACACAATACATACTGTTATACAATGTTGACAGATGTGTGGAGAAAATGTGTGATTTGTGATAAACTGACTTATATTTATATATGTCTGTGTACAAGAAGGATAGCTCCTTGATGATTAGACCAGTTCACCCAGTGATGTGCCTTATCTATACACAACACACAGTAATTCCTTACCCTGCTCTTTCTGCTCCTCCTGAACTTGTGCAGAGAGTTCGGTCGGACTGGGGATTCCCAAAGATGTCTCTGCCTTCTCTATTACCTGAGTGAGCCCTTGGCCTGGATTGAGAAGACAGACAAGAAGTATGTGTCGTACAGAAGAAGTGTTAACGATAATAGACAGAAAGATAGTGAGTGATTTTGTGTGTGTGTGTAAAAAAATAACTAAAAAGATCACCAAACAGATTATATATATTATATAAGAAATACAGAAAGATTGGGTTAGGTGGTCTGTACTCACCAACAGTAGACACAGTAGCTGTTGCTGTGGATAAGATGGATTTGCCCCAGCTGCCCAGTATCCCCAACCACCCTGAGACACAGTGGACTCACTGGATGTCTGAGAGAGAGGACAGAGAGGGTATAGGGAATGGAAGGAATAGGAAGGAAAGAAAAGACAGAGAGAGCAAGGGACAGAGGTTATGAGTAAGAGAATAGTAAGACAAAATCAATGACTGTTGTAGACAAGAAGAAGTGACCTTTGGTAAGACCCTGGGGCTGGTGGGGAATTCAACTGTTACAAGACAAGGCTTGTAAAAACATTCAGTTAACATCTGAATAGTTATGCCGGGACAAATGTGCAGCATTCAGAGTCCTTTGTGCAGTAATAACCTGTTGATTTGTGGACAGAGGCCTGCAGTGTCTCCCAGGGAACAAAAGATTGAATATGTAGTGAGCAGAGTGAGATACTTTAGACATTATTATGCAAACATTTTTGGTTATGTTTATGTAGTACAGCAGTATTTTTTTTTTTGCTGTATTTTAGGGGGTGTTACTCTCTGAGCTGCCATACCAGATTGTTAACAATAAAGTGAGAATATGTTCAATGATGGCTTTATAAAACTGGTTGATCTTTTCATGAGCATCAGCAGAAGTGTTGTTCTGACCAAGGCCAAGATGAAAATCACAGCCAGGCGCTGCTAGATGGCCTCTGAGAAAATGTTATCCCATGCTTGTCTAATTAAAGGCATAGCCTCTCAAACGAGCATTCCCCAAGAAATTCTCATTATATACCATTATTTGTAGTTTTGTGTAGTATAAACAATAATTATCTCAGTGCCTTTGCCGGCTGCTCCTCTACTTTCAGCATCTCCGCCTCTTCGGCTGCAGGTTTGGCTTCTGGTCTCCTCCTGGCTTTCCTTGTCGGGGCCACATCGGTCGAGATGTCAGGTGCGGTCTGCGGGGAGCTGTCGGGCGTTTCGGCAGGAGAGGCATCCTGAATCTCTGGTGCCACCTCTGGACCCTCTGCCGCTGTTGCTTCACTGTTTGACATCTCGATGCCTCAGCACATTCCTTCAAAGTGAAAATAATAACTATTAGCCAGATAAGTATCCGATTAACCTGCCGAATAACTTGAAGATCAATGTACAAATTTTGAGGGGACAAGGGTTTTTGTAAAAAATGCCTAAAGAAAGAAATAGACACTGTTAAAGCGTCCTTCTTCCACCTTTAGATCCAAACACTGTGATATTTAATGCATTCATTTCAGGAATTACTTTGTAATAAAATGCTTTAATTCACTGTTTTGGTGAAATCAGTTTCCTTCAACCAGTGACAGAATACATTTCCCTAGCTTTTAAAAAAAATGTTTGTTAAAAGGTTTTCAGGAACAGGAATGTATATTATGACATTACATAAACGTTAACTCAGCAAATTACTGTTATTGTTGTATAGTAACAAGTTGCATTGCTATTCAATCTTTAATATTATGTGTTGCTAAAGCCTTTGGTGAGCTAACGTTAACGTCAATGAATTTGACAATACGGCCAGGAGTGTAAATATTTATCTTTAATCACTAAAAGCTGTTTCAATAACGTTAATTATAAACGCATAACTTAACTCGGTCGACATAAAACCCAACTGTTAACTGTTATAACGTTACTTTTACTACAAACTCACCTTTTTCCTACTGTCAACGTCTTGATGCTAACTTAGCAGTTCACGTCACCTCAGTCTGCTGACAGCTTCCTTCCCAAAACCAACCACAACCAGACAGGTTTATCTTCTTTATTTCGGTTTGCACTTCTGTTTCTTAAACGCCTTGTAAACAGTTCAATGTGCGAGGTTTTCTCACTCGTTTTGTCAAAGACAGTTTTAGCCACGTCACATTGTGTTTTCACCACCGACCAGGGTCCAAAACACGGAGGATCCGACAGAGAGCCAAGCTGGGGAAAATAACTTCCGGTTAGTGTTTTCAAAATAAAACACATGTTTTTGGAACATTTGGTAAAACAGAGGTTGGAAGTGCGAATCTGTATCCGGAAAAATAACAAACGTCCTCTACATATGTATTTTAGACACAATTAGACACATCTGAAAAGGTTGGTGTACATTTTAGATATTATTTGACTTTTCCAGGGATGACTCATGATTTTATTTTTTAAAGAAAAAAACGCCGTACTACCGGTTCTCTCTGTCGTTAGGTAACTTGATGACGCAATTAACTTCGTCAAGTGATGCAGACTTCAAAATAAAATTATTTAAACTTCCGGTTCTCAAAATTAAAGTACATTGATATTTAGTTGTCGTTTGTCCTCCAGATCTGTTCTGTTTTGAAAAATCAAGTAATCGTGAATGTATTTATTCAAGAAAATACAAATACAAATGACAGATCACCAAATAGTTTGCGAATGTTTTATACAAATAGAAATATTACATGAAAAAGTAGCCTTATTATCATTATTAAGTATTACATAAATTATATATTTAATTTAATCTATGTTGTTCTTTTCTCCGTCACAGACTGGATTTGCACGGGGAACAAGCCACGCCCATTCGCTCATACCTGAAGCAGGAAGTGAACGTACCCGGACATCATGGCAAGGACTGGTCGTGTTCGCGTTGCTTAAACACGTCAGGGTAAAAGCTGAAAAAAAGGAGTAAACGGAAATAAATGAACTAAGAAGGATCCTGTTAGTCGGTTATTTGTTGTTTTGGTCGTTGTCAGAGCTACAGGTGAGAATCACTGGCTTAGATTTGAGGTTTTGTTTTTTTAAATGTGTGGGTTTCTCTCTTCCTCTGGTAAAATGTACAATATTGTTATACCAGAGTAGCTAGGTATTCAGTGCTTAAACTATTATATAATTATTTAAATGAAATATTCCTTACTGGACTAGTATTCCTGTCATAACTCTTACACAATTATCTTCACTAGGGCCTACTTCCTTTTTAGTTTATCCTTAAGAGACAACAACGCGTACTTTTAAAAGGTATTGAAAGCTAAAGGAACCGATCAAATCAACATTTTTTCATCTAAAAATCAATGCAGTGAGAGAAATAACTTTAAGACAGTAGGCATGTTTCCATCAAGTCTAATTGTGATGCGAATTTTAAGCGTACTTTTGAAATGTCGCTAAAAAGAAAAAAAACAAAACAAATTGCGAGATATGTGCGTTTCCATCAGCTGGTTTGGAGCGAAAACACCAGGTTACGGCAAGCGTAGTTACGTCAGTAGTTGACGTTACACATGGCTGTAATAAACAAGACGTCTGGGTTCCAAACCAGAAACAAAACCAGTTGCATGAACCTGATGGTCGCTGATCTTAGAAAAATAGAGAGAGGTCCTCAGGGATGTGTTTCAAGCGGGCAAGTTGCAACCAGCCATGTCTCCGCACCTTATTATCCGGTGTTATGCCGAGTTTTGCACGCTTACCGAGAATTGCGTGCACCTCCAAATAATGCTTTTAAACGATAATATCCTTTGTGGATAACGGATTCGAAGGATATATTTTATAAACGTTTAGAGTCGTTAATATTTTATTACACTCAGAAGTAGCATTGATATTCAGCAAAAATATGTGTCCCGTTTGATCAGTGTGCAGAGCAAAGTATCTGAAAAGGACCTTTAAGAGGTGAATGCATAATTCGACAGAACAGCTGATGAAGGCTACCTGCCCAGATTTGCATCCACCGCTTTTCTCAGGGCAAATGAGCGTTACCAGCCGCGAGGTGCATGAAATTCTCGCAGGTATGCAGAGCTCGGCACAACCGGGCAAGACGCCGACAGCAGAAACAGCTGATCAGATGTGAGTCACAAGTTCGCTACGTCGGAACTTATTAGGAAAAAAAAGTGTTTCCATCTCCAATTTAGCGCATTTACTCTTTTTCGAGAAAGGCAAAAACCACCTCAAGCCAGCGTAAAAAAACTTTTTAGCTAAAATAAGGATTTTTTTTTAGATTCCATCAAGCTTTTCTAATGCCAGACTTCAAAATGCGCATAAAAACGTGGATGGAAACACGGCTAGTGAAAACAGGGGCATTGAAAAGTCAATTTAAAGGATAGGTTATGGAAGTTGAAAATATGCCATGAGGAATAAAGAAAAGCAAAAGCCTGGAGTCCTGCGTTGCTCTGTGAGCCATAACTGTTTCCTTTTCCTGTTTTGCAGGTTTGACTTGTCTAAATGTGAGCTGAAGCCATGGTACCAACTCAGAAACGCCACCTGTCACGCCTGCTTCTCTCAGTCCTGCTGCTCAGTGGCTGGACAGCAGAAGGAGCTCAGAATGGGTCAGAGCAGGCAGCGTCCTCTCTGCATTTGGCCAGCGTCCCCTCCAGTGGGGACATTGTGGTGAAGGAGGGATCCAGTGTGCTTATTGAGTGTAACGTGACTGGAGTCCATGATGACTTCAAGTGGTACAACTCTAAATCACATCTGCTGGATGAGGACGCAGGTGGGAGACGGAAATGCTGCACTGAGAAGAAGTTCTGATTAATTAGTTATTATATTAATGAGTTATTTTTGCCTAAAATAGTTTTACAGAAAGCTTTTATTGTTTAAAAATCAGCTGCCATGCCTTCCCTTAATGTGGATTTTTTCTGAAACGGGTGCATTTGAAACAGTCTGATACTCCACTTGTCAAACAGCCCACTTCTAAACATTGCTGGCAAAAATGTTGCTGTTTCTCAGTGATTTACTCAAAAATATTGAGGAATAGATTAATTATGTCACAGCTCCGGTTGGTTTTCCCTGGCATTAACCATTATCAGTTAAATGCTGTGTCAGTCCAAGTTTTGCTTTCATGCATGTATCAGTTATCTCTGAAACCACAATGACGAAGCAGCTTCTAATCTAATCTGATATATAAACCCGCTTTTATTTTACCAGGTGGTGTTTTGTGTTCTAATTTGTGGAAGAATTAAAGTTGCATTAAGTAAAATTGAAATTAAATTAGCACTGATTGGGTTTCTTGGCCAGCGTAAATGTTATTGATGCCGCATTACAAACTGCTTGAAGGAGGAGATGTGCTCGTAATAAGATGGACTCTCCCTGTTCCCAATCCTCAACTCATCTCTTTTGGTAAAACTAAAACTGTCTGTTGCTGTCTCCAGGTGGGAAGTGGCAGATTCAGCAGAATGGCGTCCTGAACATCACTGCGGTCTCCTTTGAGGACCGCGGCCGCTACACCTGCGTAGCCTCCAGTGGTGCCAGTAAGACCCAAAAACACCGTCACTGTGCGTGTAGCCCACT